TTTGAAAAAAAAAAAAAAAAAAAATGTCTAGTCTTTAATGCCAATTATTAAAGACGGCCGTTCTAGGTACCTGGGTACGCTTTTAAACGTAGCTGGAAGGTCACTTAATAAAAGAAAAAATTAATAAAATAATGTAGACATAAGTGTCATTTTAATATATTTTTTTTTTTTTTCGTCCTCGATTACACAATCACGTAGGAATTTTCGTATTGTATCTCATTGTGCTTCGTGTCTGTTGCCGATATAGTTGCGCACAAAAATCGATGTACAGTAGTGGTAGCATTATTTTGCACAGTACCCGTAACAGGCATTCACGTGACGTCATCGACATCAATCGTCAATTGATCGAAAAAAGTGTTGAAAATAATAAAAATAATAACAAGCGACTAATAAATTAAAAAGGACGACGCCTCGCGTAATTTTTCATGTTAATAAATCTTAAATTTTTTTTTTCTTCTCAAATCCACCGCCCGCCGAGATCTACTTGAAACTTCGTTTAGGCTTTCAGACAAAGTGCCACTCGTGATTTCCAATATATTGTTTAAAAAAGAAGGAAAGAAAAAGAAAAGAAAGAAAGCGTCAAGCCTCTCTTGAATTTTAGCGTGAGTTCTTTCCGGCGTTTTTCCATCGACGGGCAATCAGATATGAAAAGGTCACCCTATATATCATACGCATTGTGTATGCCAATATATGTATATACGTAATGCAGGCGTGTATGCATACGAAGAGAAAGAGATAGGAAAGCCAGCGGACGTTGGTGCACCGGAGTAAATAGATTCGAGTAAATAGCGCAAGTGCGCGAAAGACACGAAGATCGATTGGCATAGGAGGTAAAACGAGTGGGATTATATCGAGCGTGAATTTTTTCGTGGCTGCGAACGCGCGTAAACGCGATAAGTTTACGAAGGATCTGTAAATAAGAGATCGGATGGTAAGGAAAAGAATAAAAATCCTTCAAACGATATTTCGAATGCACCGATTAAATCGTCCCACGTGGTATTAGAAATATGAATAATCGAACGAGACACTCCGCGAGAAGAATATCCATAAAACGATATTCCGCGATATATCGAGATGGGACGATCGATTAAATGAAAGTAAAGAGCGACTGGCACGAGCACGTCGGGGGAGGTAAGAAAGTAAAAGGGAGCAAAGGAATTGAAGGAAAAGGAGCCAGCGACCGGAGGCGTCCGAAGTGAGGTTAAAGGCGATACGAAATATATTGTTACCTATGAAAATAACAGTTCGCGTCTCTTTTGACCCAGAAGCATCGGCCACTAACGTGGACCTGGCTGAAAATGTCGTGTATCGCGTGGTGGCACAGCGGTCGAGAAGACGAGGACGAGGACGAGGAAATTGGGGGACCCGAGAGCAGCCGAACGGGTCACGGTTGCGAGGAGACACTGACGCCTCTGTCGGCGGAGACGCCACTTACCGGGACGGTCTCGAGGTGCGCCTCGCTGAGCGTCATCCAGTCGACGGGATTGGCCCTCGAGAAGGTGACGCCGAACGCCGTGGAGCATCACGATTACAGGGCTGCCAACCGAGCCGGGGAGCTGAGCAACGATTCGGTAGGAGATTGAAAGTCTATATAGATAGTCGAGAAGAAAATATAGGGAATAATGGTGTTCCAGGTGTACACGATACTGATCCGGTTGCCAACCGACAGCACGTGCTCGAGCAAATATGGCGTCGAGAGGCCCAGCATAAAGATGTACCACGACGACATAATGGCCTTCCGTTTGCGCAACGCTGTGGAGGGCGCTGAGGTCGATGACGAGGAAGGTATCAGGGTGCTTCAGCTGGCCGACGACCTCATGACCAAACAGTCGACAGTCCTGAGACGGCCCTCGCAGATACCGGACATACGTATTCCGCTGAACGCGAAAAATATCCCTAGGACGGTAGGGGGCAAGGGGTTGCTGAACAAGGCGCCGATAAAGAAGAAGAAGAAGACGCAGGAGAAGAAGGCGGACAAGAAGGCCGCCAAGACGCTGTCGGCCATATTGTTCGCTTTCATTATCACGTGGCTGCCGTATAACATCCTGGTCCTCCTGAAGCCACTGACAACCTGCGTCGGATGCATCCCCCAGGAGCTCTGGGACTTTTTTTACTATCTTTGCTACATCAACAGTACCGTGAACCCCGTGTGTTACGCACTCTGCAACGCCACCTTCAGGAGGACCTACGTGAGGATCCTTAAGTGCAAGTGGCACAGTAGAAATAGGAATGCTGGTAATCGGGGGTACTACCCTTAAGTTTGCGCGATGAACATTTTGGAACGTCGCGTACACAAAGTAAATATTAAATCCAGCCCGTGTGTCACTTTACGATTTTTTAAGGTAATGGAGTTTCAGTTTATATGCGTCTAGACGTCTTTCGTCGTGTCAGGTTTCGTTTAACACGAGGACCTGCTGCCACTTTTTTGCTACGTGGGTTCCTTGGACACGTCCTTACGACATCCTCGAGACGGCCCACCCGCTATTTAATCGTTGACGCCTTGGACGAGCCTCGAGTCTTCGTACTGGGTCATCACGGTGCGCGACGTCCAGTGAGGATTCATAGGTACAAACCTTTGCTGGCTAGGGGAATGTGCCTGATTCTCGTATTTTCTATCTAGGCTGATGATCCCTGAACGAGGACCTGTCGACTGCCGTCTGCGGATGCTGCTGAACGTTGAAGGCTGCATCCTTGGAAACGTTTGTATCTACGTCCGGGACTTGGATATGTCGTTGGATCATCCTAGGGGCCTGTACAAGGAAGGCTGTAGGATACAATTGTATCCGGTCGACAACGCACAACCGCACAAGGAAATTAATCTTGAAACTTTTAACGAATTTAATCAAGATCAATTGGGAAGGAGCATGACAGATGTATACCTTCAGATCCGTAATGGATATAAGAGAAGAGGAAGTAAAAACAACGTACGTCATATACAGACAGTGGGACAAACTCTAGAGACACGTTTAAAGTGCGTCGCCAAGTGTTAGGGGTGATTCAGGGTGAAAAAGGTGAAGAAAAAAAAAAGAATAAAAAATCGAATGCTTCCGTACCGAATGACATTCTAATTAAACGTGCCAAACAAAGCTTTAAGAAATAACTCGGGTGGGGTGGGCTCTGGGAATCGGGGTTTTTTGGGGGTAGGGTAACGAGATGGTGTTACGTGGAATTTGAAAATTACCAAAACGAACGAAATTAAATAAGATACGAATAATACAATGGGATTGGAAACGGAGATCGTTAACGCGTACATGGGTTAAAGAGGTCGGAGGTGGCGCCGATTGTCGATTTGAAGAAATGGAATTGCGAATTGAAAATTAATTAAGTGACATTTTGCTGAGCCGATCGCGAACCGATTATTTGGCTCCGATCGGTCCATTTGCCGGTCCCATTTTGCGCACAAACGCAAGCGCACGCCTTTGACGTGCGCTCGCGCGTTCACACACGGCATATACGTAAATACACGTACACACTTTTCATCGGCGAGGTCATTGTGACGTCATTAACACTCTATATACATATACGTATACAAAAATATACTCCAGCTCTCACACACCGATGCGTACACGTGACCGCGAGTGATAAAACACACGTATGTGAATTACGTGCATCCACACTTTACCGAACACACGAAGGATAACGTATGTCGTACTTTTTTTAAACTTAGAGCATTGTAAACACCGATGTACTCAGTCTATGTTTATATACGTGTTTTATATTAACGAGAATTAAAGAATTACGAGTAAGATACCACGGGAGTATTGTACATTGATTGGATAGCGTGATCGACCAATGGAAACGATCGAGTGTCGCTCCCGAAGGGCGATCGGATGAAACGAAAAAATCGAAGGGGACTGCGAATCGAATCGGCAGACTCTCCCGAAGGAGACTAGAGAGCGAATCGTAATTGTTCGAAGCGATGAGACTGAGACGGGATTCTTAGAGAGGAAGTAAATAAAAAATAAGAGTGCAGCTGAGAAAGTATGTTAAGTTGAAGGGGGTGCAGCCAGAATTTATTTCCTACGTAGTTTAGAGCTAGTTGCAAATTTATAATTGTTACTAGAAATACTATAAGTTTCATGGAACAGTATTTTTCAATGTATAATTCTAGTTTGTCGTCATACGAAAATTATATAGGTCGAATCTGGTTGCACTTCGTGCCTCGTGCCGGTGGGAGAGGGATGACGATTCGTGAAGTTCGTTCTTCGATTTTTCTTAACTTTTCGATACACCGTCTTGGAACACCGTGACGAGGTTTTTAGGTCGAAGATCAAAATTCGGATGCTGTAAACGGGATGGGAACACTCGAAGGATTATGAGTGGAGGGAAGGAATGTGGAGAGAGAGAGAGAAAAAAGTGGAATGTGTACCTCGCTGGAATCGTAGATTTAGGTTGTCGTTTGTCTCGAGTGAGTGTGTTTGTTCTACCTTAAAGCGTTGTGTATGCAAATACCGTGTGTATTGCGTTATAAATACTTGTATAATTCGATACGACACGATGTAATATACAATGTTCTTTTATCTTGACTTCCTGTTGCTGCTCCGTGTCTCCCATAGTCCTCGCGTGTACTTACTATAGCAAGTATCGCTGTCCACTTTGTATGTGGATGCCTGGCAATGAGGGGGAGAGAGAAGGGTATAGTTGGATAGGGTTTTGAGGACTCGGAGATACGGAGAATACATATGCATGGGAAGCAGCGAGAGAGAAGGAGAGGAAGAGAGAATGGGGTTTATGCGTGTAAGAGAGAGAGAGAAAAAGTGTGGTCGATAGGCAAGTATAAGACGATGATGGATATTGAAGAAATTATAATATAGGTAACGAGATTGCTCGGGATGAAAGAATAACGAGAAAGAGAGACCGTTTTTTACTCTACTGTAATTACTGCAAGTTACGACGATGACGATAATAAAAGATATTGGTGAGCCATGGAAAGTGACATCATGTGCCTCGTTTTGTTTCACCTCTCTTAAAGCTCCCACGTAAATCAAGAAGAGGATCGTTCGTGGGTGGGTTTCGTCGAAGAATCTTTTAAATCGTTTTTTCCCTTTGTTCCGTCAATATTTGTCTCTTAGAAAGTTTTCAAATACAATTTTGAATTCGTATCGAATCTTATGTAATTTAAGTACAATTAATACTTCGGGTCTGTGTAACTAGTCGAAGGAATCTTGGTCTGTACCGTCTTAAAGACTGTGCATGACCATATCAGCCTATCTATCTGGCTAACTAAATATTTCCCTACCTACGGACTCATGCTTATTTTGTAAAATCCTTAGAGGACTCGGCGTGATTTTTCCTTCTAGGCAATTGCAAGGTGATGGGCTGTACGTCTTGAGCCTTGCGAGGGTCGTGGCTGGTATTGCGGAAGCTGATCTTCAAGTTAGGCACGTGCTGCTCAGCAGCCCAGTCAAAATTGAAAACGGGAGCCTCGGAATGCAATTCCGAGTCTGGAGTATCGGCCGGTGTAGTTGGTGTTGTGATATAAGGACTCAAATCCTGTTGGACGACATCCGGCACCCTCTGCAACGTGTCTGACCAGACTGGACTGCAGTTCCATTGCTCAACGGAATCCGTGGGTTCCATCAAGGATGATCCCTTCCCTATAAGCCTCTTCTGGGTGAAGATCCTATCAGCACAACCTTCTGCGTAGCTCTTGTCCAGGTCGGTGATGTTGTACTTGGGTGATTCGCCCGAGTACTGGACCGGAAATTGACTTAACTTGCCTCGGTAACTTCCGTGCAGGTAACCCTTAGACTTGTGCTGCTTAGCTGTGAAGTTCAAGTTGTGCGTTAATGTCTGCAAGGTCCGGGTCTCGTGATCCGAACTGTTTATGGACATGTCTACTGGTTCAGCATCCTCGTGGGGTAATCTGCTCTTCTGCAGGGGATAGTCACCCTCAGGTTTGCTGCAGTGACTTTCATCCATACTGTACGACGGTGAGGATTCTGTCTCGTGGGGGTGTAAACCACCTCTCATGTAATCATGGTGACCATACGTAACACTGTGATTCTGTTCTGGTGGAATTCCATAAGTGAACTTGGTTTGAGAAGAATACTGATACAGCCAGGAACTTGATCTCATCACTTCAGCTTCCTTATCGCTGTAGCATATTAATTAATTTTTTAACTCATTAACTTTTTATCTTTATTCCTGCTAGGAATTTTTCTTTTTTTGTATCGTACCTGAGAACCTGATTGGTACACACAATAATAGGATGCTGACACTCTTCAGACGTGTCCTTTACTTGAAGGACACAGTGTACCCAGAACCATCTACCTGATCGACTCTGTAGCCTCAATAATGCTGTACTAGAACGTTCTTGATCGGACTGTATAACTATACAATATTATTATATTTTATTAGAAGATATCAAGATTTGGATATAAATTTATTATATGATACAACTTTAATACCAATTTGGTGTTTGCAGTATGCAGTTCGTATGCAATCCCAGTGAAGTAGGTTGTACCAGGAGACGCCAACGAGTTCAGCACGCGTGTACTCTATGTGACTTTCCGCGCTGAAGTAAAGAAATAATTGATACTTAGATACCTTACATCCTATATACCTACTACTCGATGTATCGCAGATAATCTAATGACGTCATTTTTGTCACTGCTTACGTTTTGTCAATATGAAGATATTTCATGTCCATGGAATGTATAGTTGTGAAGATATTTGTAGCACCCTGTACAACGCTTTCTCGAGTTTCTGGCAGGACGACAGGCGTGCACGAGGCCAGGAAAACGGATTCGTTGCGATTACAAAGAGGAACGAACGGTAAGTAGTGACCCTCCACCAGAACGACCTGAATTATGAAAAACGGTACTTCAAATCCAATCGACGAGTCTATATTTTGAATGACACATTTTTTAAATCTAACTCTTCTAGTACTTTTAGTATACCATTTTTGTTAAATTTGTCAATCAAACAAAAATTCGTTACACTCCTTGTCTCGTTGCAAGATTGAAAAAATCTATTTTACACAGAACGTAGTTACCGATGTAGATGTGTACTGTGAAACTAATAAATCGATTAACTACGCTAGGTCAATATCCGTTCTAATACAGAGAAGAGTTCACTGATCTCGTTTCTCTATCCCTTCCATATCCATAGAGTATTCTATAAAATAATATAAACAGAGTACACAAAGACTTGAGAAAATGATGAACTGCTTACAGTGAAATAAATATAATTAGATTCTATGTTGTGAATATTTTTTGTTTTTCATCCTGACAATATAAATTAACGCTAGGGAAGTTGTATCTCTTATTTTAATTTCAATATTTTTATACCTTTTGGTCTCCAAAGCGAAGTTGTCTACGTGAATTTCTGGACACATTAATCCTACAGAGAAACAATCTTCTGTCATTTGGAGCAGGGGTGTTCCTGGCAAGTTGATTTTGCACCACCATATGATCCTGTTTGTCTATAACGTCATAGACACTGTCACCGTGGATCAGAAGATCCTCCTGGAATATTTCTTTACATTGACCACTTCTTTTCTTTAATTTATTCTAATTCTATTAACTTTCCCAGACACGGTGGGCAAATATTTTTTTTTACCATAGAATGTCCTAGGTACTCGGCAGCATTTTCTGATATATACAGTAACTTCCCTTGTTGAGTCATCATCATGATGAACACAGACATAGCCTAAGGGAAATAATTAACGTGAATACAAAATCATAAGAAGTCAAAGGATACCCAAAAAATATATATAAAAAAAATACTTTGGAGAATCCTATATTGGGCGTTGGAATGTTCGTGGAGTCGGATGGGCTGGTTTTCAAAGCTGTAACAAAAGAAAGAAAAGTGTTGAAAAATTATCAGTAGTATATATATATTTTTTTTTTCAAAAACACCATTATCTATCACATCCGTATACATTGTACTTCTACGAAACGAATAGGTGGTCTCTCGATGGAACGTTTCGTTTGCAATTTTTTTTCAGTTTTTCCTTTTTTTTTCAAAGAATGCAAGGCAGGGTACGTGGCGCCACGGTTCCACAGCGTTACGGGGCAAGATGGGGAACTACGGAGTTCAGTACGGGGGAGTATGGGTTACAGGAGCGTGAGAGTGTTGTTGCAGAGGCCGAGAGGTCAGCGGATCACCCGGAACTCTCGCTTAGACTCCGCAGAGTTTCAGCTCGCTGCAGTCTTACCTTCTTGCCATGCCTTGTCTTACATTTGCCTCGTCTATACTCTGGCTAAGTATATAATCCTATAAGATACTATAGTAAACGGTATAGTGCATGCTCAACTGTATATTTCACAGCAGTATGCTACTACGATGTAGTCAACTGCGAATCTATACTGAAATTCCATTTTCAATAGGCACCCTATCCACCTACCAACCTACCGTATGGGTTGGTTAATGTTATTCTTAATCCGTACATAAATCCCTTTGATAAACTGCATCGTTTGACTGTCTTGTTGTTGCACATATTTTTATTCCTTATCTTAGATCCTAGTCAGGGGGTTGGTTAAAAGGATTAAATGAAAATATTTTTTATTAAGATAATATTCATAACAAAGTTTTGAGATATGATTATATTTAGTGCATACTGATGACAGTTGGATTTGTATATTTTTCAAGATTTCGTTTGTTATTTGGTAAAAAAACACATATTGCTTATGGAGATGTAAACTGTAATATTTTGTAAAATACCGTATTTTGCATGTGCACAAGAGTTAATTGAATCAAGTAAAATTTTTTTTTGGAAATATAATACACAGGTATTGACAATTAAGTACATTGGAACTTTGATAACTCGCATCTCCAAGGGAAACGAAATATACTTCGAGTTATCATAGTTTCGATCTGTCGGGAGGTTTTCAAGTTAGAGAAGTGAAGCATTAGAAAATTCGAAGATTCATAGTCTTATAGAGGTTTTTGACTTGTAGAAATTCGAGTTATCGAAGTTTGACTGTATGTCTTCGTAATTTTACATGCCATACGTACTGGTAGATGCTTGCTAAGCAATTATCTTGATTGTTAAAAAAAATTGAACGATTTTCTAATTAATAGGTGAGTTAATTGACGGTCGATTAATTAAGCGAGTTTTGCCAATAGGAAGACAAATAATATAATAGAGGTGAATGGCAAAGAGTATTTTAAGTCTTGTTACAATATTTCCCGATAAATCAACCCTATATATAAGAAATATCACGAACCGAATATGCGTCTAGTAATTAATACAAAATTGAATATTATAAATTCAGAGCGAAATATTTTGGAAAGAATACAAAAATAAAATTAATCGTTCGATTATGATAAATTGAGTATGTGCAATAACCATTAAACTTGTTACAAAGCAAGCCACCATTGTTAATATACCATATAGACTTCAATTACTAATCAATCGACGTGTTTCGTTTCAGTTAATAGTAATAGCAACTGGTAATTCGAACTCCTTATTCGGTATATCGTTTTAATTTAATTTTGGTTAGTAATTCAATTCGACTGGGCACATTTGAATTTACAAGAGTAAACTAACAAGGATTAACGATCATTCGTTTTTGGTCATGTAATTTATTCCCATTAACATTATTAATTAGAGCATATACATATTTCCAATAAAAAGAAAATCCCAAAAGTACAGGCATTGCGAAGAACAAAAGGAAATGTGTCGATTGTTTAGCAAGAGAAGAAATAACGTTAATAACAATACAATAATAATGCGTTGATGCTCTGAGTAAACTTAAAGGATCGGTACAGCACAAATAAACGTCAGTGACGTATCATCAAATCCAAGTGCGCCATAAAGATTGGAATTACGTTTAAAAACTTGGATGAAATATTAGTAACTGCCAATGAGTAACGTGGCGATTGAAGTTTTCATGCGATCGGATAAGTGAACGTTACCAATCGTTACTGTCAATTATCGGAGTCAAGTAATCCAACAAACTTCAACGTAGATCAAGTATCACAGAACGCCGACAGGGTGAACGTAGCCATAACATTCCCATGTGAAAATGGCAATGGACGAGAACACGCTAATAATATGAAGACGAACGACGTCTTTTAACATAGATGGCAGCTACGTTGCATTTACGATCAGCCGACGAGCGCTTTAGCGACGGCGCACTAGTCAACGAGAAAATAAGAACGCGGAAATCGCACGATTGACTTTGGGTATGGTAACAAGGAATAGATAAATTTATGACGTTAATATTTGAATATTTTCCTTTCGTTTATTTATGTACGAATTAAAGATTCGATCGAGACACTTTGTTAATTTTCTACGTGCTTTATATGCATTACTGCGATCGATAATATTAGGTTAGGATTTCGTATTATTTCTATTATTCGTGCCAGGATCTAGTTTACACTCTAGAGAATTGTATTACGTCGCTGTGTTTGATGTACAAATTTCGAGATACAGTATTAAACGTTATTTTGCTTAGCATCGTTAGGCTCTCGCTCGATCGATGTTACCGTTCTTTCGACAGTACCTTTCACGAGGTCCTTTGCAGGACTTTGCATAACCATTCTCGATCTACAGGTCTATCCAAGGTAAATGATTCGTCGAACCAACAGAAGAGATTATCGAACCAACAGCTATAGGTCGTCTGTACGAGAAACGTAAGGCTGTAGCATTTGAGTGGCATAGGCTCTGTATATTTTATAATAGCTTTTGTGATTTTAGTCAAGCTGATAGTAATTTCATGTATTTCATATTTATTGGCGTGTAAGTATGAAATTACTTGGGCAAATTGTAGGCCCGTTGTACGAGAAATCTTATGTCGCAGTGTATAAGCGATATGGGCTGTGTATTTTGAAAAAAAAAATTTTTTAATTTTAATATATTATTTTTGATTGATTCACTTATTATGCTTTATCGGAATATGTAGGCATTGTTTTATTTGTAAGTGCAAAATTGTACAGGGGGATGACTAACCACGAAAGCTTGACATTATGCGCCGTTCCGTCGCTCTCTGCATTTTACGAATCATCGATCCAGTTATTGATATTCATATTTTTCGTGGACTTACCTTGCTGAAAGTAATTAGCCTTTCGCAGAAATACGCAAACCAGTGCCATAAGCTGCAATTGGGAAAGTCTCTGTCGTGTCGAGGGTGGAAGTGGCAGGAGATCACGTAGATTCGCAATTTCCGCGTTTATCAGGTCCCTTCGCAATTTGCTCGCACCTTTCGTTGATTTGCTCGCATCTATCCTTCAAGCACACATCAATATTATTATATTACATAGCAGTTTATCAAATTATCATTTGGCCGTATTACAGCCGATAATTATTATTTCGCGTCCTTACTCGGCAGCCGCTTCAACCGTGCACACGGTTAACCTCGCGTTCTCGTTAATCACTGGCATTTATAATGATGAACTTAGCAGTGCTATAAGTTCTCACGAGTTTTATTAAGCATTCATAACGTCAATCTAACATTTATTCCTCGCGCACTTCACTGTCTGTGCTATAACCTAAAATAAGAAGGCACTGATTGTAATCCCTTGAAATAACATTGATGTACCTAATACAACAATTATACAAGATTCAGTTAAGCACTCCTTAACGAACTCGATAAAAATCCATAAAAAGTTTTCAAAATTTTTTTATATCAAATCGTCCAATCCAATTTCCCATATACCTTATATCCGTACACCGTTCTGAACACCGTATACAAACTTTAACGTATTTGCGTCAACGTACGTATTCAAAAACCGTATTTGCTAAAGTGGTAACAGCGGAACAAACAGTCACAACTATGGTAAGAATCACCGCGGGGAAGACTTACCGATTGAACATATTTCGGTGACCAGGGGGACATTAGTAGCCGATAGCTGGACGACGTCGAACGGGACATCCGGGTCGGCAGGTTCGCGCGAAACTGCAGCTGCAATCTAACATCCGGGTCATAACGCGCTACTACACTGAACACGTGGATACTGGCGGAGGCTGCCTTTCTGGCTGCAACACACTCACTCGCTCGCTCGCTCGTTCCTCGCGCGGGTTCGCTTCCTTGGGTTGCTTGCTTGCTTTCTTGCCTGCCTGCCTGCCTGTCTGCTGTCTGCTCGCCCCCTCTACTACGCTGTCGTACCTTTACTCCCTCGTTTCATCGCTAGCGCGAACGTTTCTTCGCTCGCTCGCTCGCGGGTCACGATCGCATAGTCTTCTGACTCCCACTACTACCGGCAGCGTCTCTTCTGCATGCGGTTTTACGGGCGGTTTTACATGGAATTACTGCGCTCGGAATTTTCGTATTTAGCCTGCCTGCTCGCGGTGCGAGTCGTTGTCTGTTTTGAGGTTAATAATTAACTTTTCTTTATTTAATATTTCGAGGTTATTATCGCGTCTGATATATTTTATGTATGGAGGATGGTCTTAGGGGTACGTTCAATAATGTTTTACAACTTTTTTTTTTAAATTTTATTCGTAATTCTCTTTATCGATAGATATGGTTTGCTGTTTTTTAAAGGAATTTTCCGGTTCGTTGCAGGAATGATGTTATTGGTATGTGATAGGTATAACAGCCCCGTCACGAAATATCGTTTTAAAACGATTTATCACGTATGTTGGGTTTGAAACTTACTTATTGCTAATACATAAGACTAGTTATCTATATCACTTCTGGTTTAGGTCGTTAAAACGAACCTAATCTCCCGGACTATACATATGTATGTACCTTTATAAGTATCACGTGTTTTCTAATCAGCGAAACAAGCCTCTCTTTAATTTACAACAATTTCTTTAAGGGTGGACGGATGATTAATCTACGAAGAAGCGTCAAGTTGCACGAAGACAAGGACCTTAAAATGTCCTGAAGATATACGTTGTATCGTATTATTACATTTAAGCAAAGTTTACGAACGTCGTTCAACCAGCGACTGTCATTCTGCAGACACCATAGAAAAATATTTAAATCAAAGGGTCAAGGTATCCCTCGAGATTTACCCTACACGTCCTTTCACCATTCAAGCCACAGTTCGTATTTTCTGTTGAAAATGCTGTGCCGATTGAACCCTCAGGTCGAGTATCTATTAGAAGAAAAAAAACAAGAGGACAGGTGAGCTCCGGTTCAAACAGGAAGTGACGATAGTATTTCCCATTAGAGTTTTACAACATAAGTGAGATTAAAATATCGATTTTTCTCTGTGTACCCACAGAATATTTGTATCCCGTTAAAACCCAACATACTGCTATATCGTTATATGGGAATGCATCATGAAAATTATATATATTTCACATATAATTTTCATATATATATATATAGAACAAATTAATATTTACCCGACGTCTCCTTTCCTCAGCCTCAGCCTGCCGTTTCTGCAACAACTGCAACGTGATTTCTGGCTGTGGCAACTGTTGCTCCTCCAACCGTTGAAATCTCATTGGGGGATGTTTTCTGACAAGACTTTCACCATCACGAATAGGCACCTCAAAGGCCAAGGGAGAACCTATTGAGTAAATCAGAAACAATATGATCAGCTTTGAGAACGCATACGCGTGATATAAATACTAGTCCATCGTTATCAACGATTGGCAGACCAGTAGTGTTTGACATTTTTATTCTTCTTGTCAGGAATGCATGATAATAACATATTGATTATCGTTTTCACGCTATTACAAAGTAAGCCGGGTACTAACACACGCGATAACACGAGGTACGTAAACCCGTTCGATAACTCACTTCCTTATGTAATTCTTTACCGAATTATTATATAATTCGTTGAAACAATTTTATTTCGTGCATACCTCGTCTCCTTGGCGTCGATTCTCCGTTCTTCACGCTCTTCTCAACTTTTCCGTTCTCCAAAGGCGCCGCGCTGGGCATTACTTCGCTACTGGTTCCACAGCCCATCTCCAGAGGCGACAATTTACTCTCATCTGCGAACAAAGGGCCATTTAAATATAATTCATTAAAAGATACAGAATATAAATTCGTATATAAGAATGAGTTAAATATAACGCAAGTCAAAAAACGGAATAACTGAGATTACCTAAACTTACGGCGGTACAGTAGTGACAATCCCGTGTAAAAATAAAAATATTTCTGTAATACAGTCCAGATTGAACAATACTATAAATAAATTTTTGTGTTTTTGTTTTCGAACGAACTTGAAAACGTATATTGATAGTATACATAGATCAGTCCTACAGGCTGAACCGCAGAGAGATTTTTGTGGATAGACATCGGATGTATCTATAATTGATAAAATCTTTTGCACGGAACTTGACTGTTAGCGAAAAATAAAAATGGTTTACTACACGAAAAGTAAGGCTGACGCGAGATGAGACAAAAGTTAAAATACCTAAATAGTTTTATTTTGAACGATCCTTTTTATTTCCTCAAGCACCACGTAAAGTCGTACAGTTAAGCGGTAAAAGCAGATCGATAATCTAAACGACTTTGACGCAATATTTCGTGATGTTGATATTTTCACAAAAAATATTTCTTCATAATTTGTCTCGTCTGTATCAAAGTTTTTTGTCACTAATACAAAAAATGAGATACTTACCGAACGAAGAGCGCACGGCAAAGTGGGCCTAGAGGGTAATGAGTTTTCGAGCCCCGCTGACACCGTCGACGGTGTCGATTGGTTGGGAACACGGAGGGGATTCCGTTGTGAGTTTCGCCACGAAGAGCGGCTGCGTGTCCCTTGGTTTCTATGTTTATTTCTAAAGTTCGAGGGTGTGCGTCAGCTTCTATCTGTCGTGTGTTTTGTATGGTTTTTATTATATGTATGAGTGAACGGGTACGAGGTGGAAATTTATTGACCACGCAAACCCACGACAAAACTCTTATCGATGGGGAGAACGACGTGTAGGTTATGTTTCGAGGAAACTACCCTGTTGTCACTACACGCTTTTTGCAGCATATCTGAATATGTGGTTTACCTATAGACTGCGTGTACGAGAGACCGTTAAGCGTCTGTGTTTATGAATAGATATATTAAATGTCGATGCTTCGTAGAAATCATGTTCGATTTTCTAGGTTAGAGTTTTTAATGATCCCTGGAAACATTGGTATGACGAATATTATTTTTGAGATTTCTTGAATTGTTAGCTTGATTGATTTTGGCAACATTGGGTTTGATCTAATACACTTTTTTCATGATGCCGGCATGTGGGTAAGTTTCCATTTATACAAGTATAAAGATGTAAATTTTACTTTTGGAACATTGAATTTTGGATTGTGAGATTTTGTATTTATATAAATTTTTGTAGATCCTCAATACAGGATACGGATGAGATACAGTACACACTATACATACTGGGATCATTGAACGGGGTTCGTGTGGGGTCAGGCGTTCTTGAAAAATATTGAATATCCATAGTATTTTCTTATCATTTCTTATCCTTCAGAGGAATCGGAGCTTCGTTAGTTTTCTGTCTTTAGCTTTGTAGAGAATTTCAGTGCGCGTTATTACATTAATCTGACTGCAATGGCGTCGGTTAAGATAACATTTACAGTGCATGCATTTTACAGTTCGTAGTGACGTTTAATAATGGACGCATAGCGTGTTGAGTAATTTTTCTTTTTTATTTCATTGATTTTTTTCTAGCTTATCTATCGTTAGACAACTGCCTTTGTATGTTTCTACATTATGGTTTTTGGCTACATCTTGAAAATATGGTACCATTATTTAAATTCTGGTTCGTTGCTCGTCCTTCAAGATAACAACGAAATTTTCGAATAATACAATTCACGCACGATAAGATCGTGGATGTATGCGACGGACGGACGTGGGAATCATTAGTCGGCAATTTGTGTTGACTATATTATTTAGTCAGCTATGAGTATCAAAGTGTGGCGCCAGCCAGGAGTCAAGTCATAGTACTACCCCGGAGAAGTCAAGTTCCTCTATACGTCAAAGTCCTTGTCGAGGGTCGTTGGCTGATTTCTATTGTATATCGTCATTATACGTATATTCTGTAACACTGCTTTAAGGTATTGTTATCCATATTCTCTTACAGGTGTGTACTTTCTTATAAGAACTGCGGATCGAAGTTGTCAGAGTGATAAATACTGGTTAAAAATCGTCAAGGGCTATGACCTTTTTTTATTATATCTTCCTTTAAATTTATTTGTCTACTGGACCAATACGTACATTAACACATAGACTATTACAATCTACAGAAGGTCTATTAAAAATAGAAGAATTGATAGAATGATATATACAATGATAGACTGACGTAAACCGACTGTTTATTCAAACTTATGACTTTACTTTTTTTCGGAAAACTTAGTTTTTCGTTAGTAAAATGTGTAACAATTAAAAATTTGGTTTGTTTAGCACTATAGAAAATTCAGTACTTCTTAATAATGTTATCATATGATGAGGATAATTTCAAGCATTGTCAAGTTGCTATTTGCCTGTGTATGCAGCATAGTGCATCTGTGAAAGACACTTATAATTGTGCAGCGGGAATGAATTACAGAATGTAGCTCTATCTAGCGGTAGAATGATGAAACTTCACGAAATATATATCACGCAACAATTGTACGATTTGAAAAACAAGATCTTAAGAAAACAGTTCGTCTCCTCTCTAACAGTATCTGGTGAGTAGTTCCTAATAATGTTACCAAGTGCTTTGAAATTGGTATTTTTGGCACTTGCCTCGTATGGGGATGAATTTAAACAAATGAAAGAAAGTGGTAGTATATCGTCAATGTCGGTACAGTCGTGAGGAGAAAGGATTAGGATTTTTTTATACAGACTTATAATATCGCGTAAGCTTTCGAGATAGAACCTTTTACTGAAGAAAGGAATAATAGGTATGAGGTTAACGTTGCGACCGCACGTGTCTTGCGAATCCACTAAAAGGGTCTAAAGTTTCATATGTACGTAGCAAGGAGTAACTAGATATTGGCGGTATGCATTCCATCTAAAATGTATCGTGTTTCTCGTTTGTCCTTACATTTAAATGCCTCTTGTGCGACGTTTTATTTCTATATGCTGAAGATATCCATGTTACAAACTAATATGTTCCACGTAGATAGTTAAATAGAGTATTGAACGTTTTGTTTTGTTTTATTTTATTAAAAACATTTTTCTTTTATAAATAATGATAATAAGGAATAGTACAATTATCACAGTTAATTAAAAGTTATGTCAGTATAGATTTTATGCGCGTTATATGTTTCATTTTTCATTACCACTTTTCACATCTAATAAGAATTCAGTTGTGAGTAAAACAATGCTATGGCTGGATCTTCTGATTCGCAAGTGATAAGAACGTCACGGAATTTGTCGAGTATTTGTAACAGTTGGGATCTACGAATATTTTCCAAGTACATTATCTCTTCCAAGTGGTGACCGCCTGTGAAGTACCCTAATCTGCATAGTCTGTCCATTAGCAACATATCGTCTGAAGCAATGGGAAAAGTGTCGGATTGGTACTCAAAAATGCCACTTTCTTTATCTATTGGCAACTGGATATCAGTTTTGGAATCGTTAGGTGTTCCTTTCGGCGTATCGTTCATACCCCAACTGTGATCGTTTTCTGTTAGTCCGGATGGACTAGGATCATCTGAACTTTTTGTTTCCTATGAAAACAATATATATTTTATTGTTTCGAAAAATTAAATTGCACAAGATAAATTAGAGATTTTATTCATGTATATCTACCATTGTGATGCGGCCGTGAACAGTAGGCATATATTGTACGTATGTGTGAAGTTGCAACAGCAAATGATTCTTCAGTAACCAAATGATTATTTTCACTACCTGCGTTTGTTGTTGCGATTGGCTCAAAGGATTTAATTTTTGACTTATTGATGTGGGCAAAGAGAACTCGCTAATTACCTGTATGAACAGTAATTATAGCATATTCAGTACGGATTATGAGATTTCATATTTCATTGACACGTACCTGTAACAGACAGAGTCCTGGAAATTCCTCAGAAAATGCATCAAGCAGCTGAGCCGTTAAAACGGCATCAGGTGAAACAACATAAACATTATTTTCACAGAGTGGATATATAATTGTAGCTTTTGCCCAGTAAACCAAATGCCCGGTTAACTGGAAAACTTGTGTTAATGCCAGATCTGAATCTGCGGCTAAAGTCTGTAGACTTTTTAAAGGATTGTACATTTGTATTAGGCGTCTAAGAGCCGGTGACGAATCTGTTGGTAATGAATCCAACAAATCATGAGGTTCGAGCAATAACAACAAACCATGGTACGGTCTTAGGCTGTCTAAACATCTGTAATTAGACAATTGTTGAAATGATCTTTTCCTGTCTTGGTAAGAAATTTATGTACATTAAGACAGTGTAGTTTGATTCGTAAGGATGTACCTGTCTATTATCTCTGGGTTCATGATAAATCCTTTCTTATGAGACTGATGAACCTTTTGAGGTAGGCAGAAGCTCACTTGAATCCATTTGTTGATCATTATATTGATTACACCTGAAGTACATAGACTATTGAACACTGACTTCAGGTCTCTAGCAAGTAGGCTTTTTTGTAATATCAATTCATATGGTGATTCATCGCAATCACTCTCTTCCTCTGACCTAATAAAGTATAATTCTTAAGTTATCGATTAATAAGGTACTTTACAAACATTTTATGAAGTTAATATTATATGATTTAACGAACTTTTGCTAACTAAATACCTGGCTGCTACCTCGTCGTGAGTGGATACCATGATTTTTATTTCTTCTGAGAGAAATCCACATCGTTTTTCTTCGTGTCTTAATGCTATTCCTAGTCTGAATAAAACAAATACAAATTTAAGAATTTAAGTTAATAATACAATCATATATAATAATTTGTCTTATTTGAAATTATTAGATATCTGTTCTGTGAAGAGGAGATAATTAACCTTTTGCTAAGATCGTAATAACATTTGACAACTGAATGGCTTGCTTGGGCAGGTAGAGCAAAAACAACATTGAAAAGCTTCGAAGGATTGACTTCCTTCAATCCACGTGATGGTAAAAGTGTTGGATGTCCAACAAAACGAACATTATTTACTTTAAGCTCAAACTTTGATTCGCAGAGTTCTGGTTTGACAGCAAAAAGGGTAGATAAAACTTCGTCAGAGAAACCAGTCAAGTTTCCATTGCTTATATTGGAAGTTGGGCATGGCAAGGACTGTAGAATAAATGGTACTCTTTAGTCATAATGTTCAATGATGTCATTATCAGAAAAAGAATTAATTAGGATTTAAATATGACACATGGTACTACCTGTAGTAAGTCCTCTGATATGGTTAGCGAGTATGGGTTTTTTCTTCTTGTACATTGACTAGAATCTCGAACATTATTTGTTGCATGAGGATAACGAAAGAGCATTCGGTCTCCCTTACTGTCGCTTTTTACAAGAATTATACTCAAAGGGTTGATTTCCATTTTAAGTTTGACAACGTATATGTTAGGTTAGGTTTTCTCGTATTTTTAATTTTAAGATATTTACAAATATAGTAAAACTTTGACAATAGTCAAAACTTAATCTTGGAATCAAGGTATTACTTTTTTATATATACGTTGCTCTATAACAAGTATTTAGGTATATTGTTTAAACCATGACTGATAGCTGATAAGTTTGCTGTGAGAAACTACAAGTGTGTATCAGTCAGTGATATACATGCGCATGTGTTCATATAGAGTTCATTCTCAAAAGATTTTGTGAAATTGCCATAAAAATATATTTTATTAAATATTGAAATGGATACACAACCGTAATATACAAAAATAGAGCCCTTGCTGTTTTAAAGGAATTAAAGTTTTTAACTGTAATATCAACAATGTAAATAAGTATATATAAAACATCTCCAGCAAGAAATCACGTAAAGGTCTTAAGTAGAGTTCAGACAAAAAAATAACTTTAAATAATAGTAACAATGAAAGAAGCACTGACACCAAGATAAAATTCAACAGAAAATATTAATATAATCAGTTTTTTTTATAATGAATTCGATTCGTGTTTTTGAATGTATCTGTCCAGGATAGCTTCGCTGGGATAATCTGGGACAGACAGTTGTCGGAATGCTTCATCATCCACAAAACAAATTTCATGACCATCCTGAAACATAACACACATCAATCAGTAATATACCAATATAATTATAATCAATACTGAAAATATTTATATTACTGGGTCAGCAAGTATTATCACGCGGACTGTAGCCTTTCCCGGAGTATCTAAGGAAATTAAATCTGTCAAAATTGTGTTTCCAGTTTCCTTAATTTTCTTTTGGATTGCAGGTTGTTCAGAAAATGGAACAGCAAATGCGATACGGCCATAGGCCTTAGCATGATTGACAGTAGTACCTGTTAAATTACATTTACACAATATTATAGATATCGTAGCACATTTTTGTTTCGTATAACTAAAAACATACCAATATCTTCTAATTCAAGCTTTACTTGATCATCTCCATATCCTAACAATACGCTGTTTTCTTCTTCTATATAGACTTTCAAGCCTAAGATATCTCTCCAATAAGCAATGCTTCGTTGTAAGTTTGAACTGGCAAGTGTAACTTTTTGTACAGGATCTGTATCAGAAGCACATATTATTGTCATTATATTGTCATAAGTTGCTGATATGCTATATCTAAAGCCTAGTGAAAGAAAAAAATGTTGTATACACCTATTTTTAGCTGATGTATTTTGCTAACTACCTTTATCAGTTGGCTGTGGCTCATTTATGAGGTAGTACTTATATCCTCCTGGTGCTTTTACAACAAATCTTCCATTTTCTTCTTCAACTGGCCAGTCATTGGCACGAGCTCTTTCAATTGCCTCTTTAGAGCGAATGGTTATTCCACGAAAATCATTTCCAGCTTCATATGAAGTTATTCCATAATTATAAGTCAATTCAATGACAAAATGATTATCTTCGGGACCATATCCAACCATAGTTTTACTCCAACGATTTGCATATGGGCTAAACATTTAAGCATAAAATATTTGTTTATTACTATCACACTACAAGTGACCATTTTCCATATCTTCTTAATCTAATGTGCTCTTACACCTATATCCAATGATTGTTATCATTTGCAAGATAGTATAAACTTAAATCTTCTCACAGTGATCGATTAATATATTATCTTTTCTTTGTGATACACTATCTCTAATAAAACACATTAAATGATTACACACTTTCCCAGACATATAGATAAAATACTGATTGAATTTGTTGAAGTGTAAGTTATCTCCTAATATACTATACAAAATTCCAGATTAAAATGGCTGTGAATGAATTCAAAGACAATAAAATCATACAAGATTAGCATGTAGGGATACATTAATTTTCAATATTTTAAGATCGTATACAAACCCATTGCATGCCGCTTCGCAACCATCAGCAAATTCCTCATGTCTCAGTACCTGTAATAAGTCGAGTCATTAAGATCAAAGTCATTTTCATTCACTTTTCAAGGTAACGAAATATCTACGTTATACAGTAATATTAAGTACAGTACTAACCTTCATACCAAGAATTTCTCGATAAAATTTAGCTGTCAATTTGCGTTCAGCAATTTTAAACACAAAATGCAAAGCCCGTCCGTTCACCATTGTTAATAGATTTACAAGGAGTGTGTGAAGAATAATACGAAATCTATCAAGAAGTAGCACGCAGAAGTGACAGCCGAATAAGGTACGTCCACTCTGTTCGACGGACAATTCACAATAGCTAATTGTTTGTAAGACGTCTTACGTTTAACAATCACGAGTTAATCTGTATACTTATATCGCCTTATACAAACGCAGCGCTGAAACGTAATACTTTGATAAGTGTCACATGTTGGGAGAACAATTTTTATTATCCACAAATTAACATCCCGCATTTAATTTTTTTTTAAAATGCATACTTCAGATAAATGGGAACCTTACTTAAAACGAACTTTGCCCATAAATACTCGCTAGATGTCTGAGTAATACAATTTTTAGTTCCAGTCGATAAATCACTTACGAAGGAATATGTTCATATATTTATTGACGGTCGTTCATGCAGCCGACTGTATATTACTTGTATGGCATGTTTCCTATAATCTTTGACTAAATGTGAATAGACTGGATATATCCGTGTACTTTGTGTCTCACGATTCCGGTATGCAGAATATATATGTATATATAGCATTTAAATGGGATAAAGTCCATTTCTAGATATTCAAACACCCAAGCTCGCGTGACACCATATGTCGTAAGACGTTCAGTCTACTTACCTCTTCGGTCAATGCTCTAATAAAATTATAATAATTTCTACACCATCAACAGAGACAGATTGGCGCTGCGAGGGACAACAAAGCTAATATTACATTGACTACATTTCCATCGTGCAAGGTTTAAGTAGGATAAACCAATCATGCGTAACGTTTGAGAAGAATATTCGCATACTGTAAGGGGTAAGGGGATTTGACAGGTAATAATTAACTATGAAATTGACTAATACACCGTATATCTTAATACGTGTATCGAAACGTTCAAATGGAGCAGTTTAAAGCCGTTATGTAAACAGTTCTTTGATACGAGTATTTAATGCTTTATCATGCGTATTAATGACTCACAAGGAAACCCCCCCAACCCGACCCCACCGATTTCAATAATTTTTTGATATGTTGTAGTACTCGACAAAATAAGAGACACGTATTTTTTTTTGTGCTGACATCCACTTTAAAGGGGTGAAAACGACCCTTGAAATTCACCCCCGAAAATCGTTTTTTCATCATATCTCGACTTCTAATTAATATTTTTTAATAAAACCAAGTGGAAAATATTTGTCATAAGAAGTCGAAGATATGAGGTTTGTTAATGACCCAAGGGGTTGCAACCCTTATTTTATATTTTGAAAAAACTATATTTTTTATGCTCTTTTTCTGCATAAAAACCGGGGTATGCGCTCAAAAAAATAAAGAAAAGCGTTTCCGTTAACTCCATCAAATATTTCAGTTGGGGTGTTTCAGGATTTTTCAAAGGGATAAAAACCACCCCTAAATTTTACCCCCGAAAATTGTTTTTTATCATATGTCAGATTCTAATTGATATTTTTTAATAAAACCAAGTGGAAAATATTTGTCATAAGAAGTCGAAGATATGAGGTTTGTTAATGACCCAAGGGGTTGCAACCCTTATTTTATATTTTGAAAAAACTATATTTTTTATGCTTTTTTCTGCATAATAACCGGGGTATGGGCTCAAAAAAAAAAAAAAGAAAAGCAAAAAACACACCTCATATCTTCGACTTCTTATGACAAATATTTTCCACTTGGTTTATTAAAAAATATTAATTAGAAGTCGAGATATGATAAAAAAACGATTTTCGGGGGTGAATTTCAGGGGTCGTTTTCACCCCTTTAAAGTGGATGTCAGCACAAAAAAAAAATACGTGTCTCTTATTTTGTCGAGTACTACAACATATCAAAAAATTATTGAAATCGGTGGGGTCGGGTTGGGGGGGTTTCCTTGTAAGAGTAGTATCGGTAAAGTCGATGGGCAAATAATCTTACCGACCGTGTATTTGCCTACGTTCGTAGTTATATTGTATTGGAATTGGTGTCACTACGTATTATCCATAATAGCCATGTAAATTCGATATCAATATTCTTCGATTAATAATTCTATCTCATTATCACTTCACTTTGATTTGTTACATTTCTATCAAGGATTCATATGTATCGTAAATTATCGATCTTGAGACAGTTTATATTGCCCAGATTATTATTGGTAGTAATGATGTAGAGTTTAGATTACAGCTTTGTAAGATAACGCATGCGTCATTTTAAAACGAAGGTCGACATTTATTAATTTACAATATAATCAGAATTGTTTATTTCTATATACAAAGCCCAGCGTACGTGTAACTCTCTTCTCATTGAGAAACTCCGAACGATTGACTGATAATTGTTATTTGTGGTGTTAACGAAAATACGAGTACAGCTAACGAATATTGAAAATGGCTGAAGGAGGGATACCTAAGTGTTGTACTTACAATAAAGGCTCAGGACCATCTGGTAATAAATGGCCTCGGCATAAGAAATTCGTGGCGTAGGCATAATGATTTATTGTAGTAAAATTAGAATAATAACAATCACATATCGTGTCATCTATCAACGAGATATAACACACATGTTAAAATGATGGGACATAAATAATTTAGATGCATCATCGATGAATTGATGCCACAGTGTTTAGAAATCACGTAACATTAAAAATATATATGTATAATATATATATAATATGTATAAATTGTCGAGTTACTTCTATAAATATCCTCTAAAATCTTGTGTGGCAAAAATTAATCACTTAAAAACAAATTCACAATTTAGTTATTTACTTTAGGCACCAATGGTATGCGGACCCTGTCTTTGGTACATACGACCGATTCGATTTCATTACATTTTAATGAAGGAGACATGGAAGTAGTCTTCTCTACATTTCAATAGTGCATCATCTCTACAACTCATTCGGTTATCTTCGTATTACGTTACTTGCTGGTATCCATTTTTTTTTTTTCTTTAATTATATCCGTTTAATATTTTCATGTTTTATATTTTCCTTTAGTTTCCATTTGTTCATTGTTCATTACTGAAGAATTGATGAATATATTCGTTTATCAAGTGACGCGGTCCCAAGCACGTCCCACGACGAAAACTCAGTCTTCTTCTTTCTTCTCAGGCTTCAAGTCCACCATTGCGTGCAACTCCTCCGGGCTGTATCTGCAAATGTAAACGAGAAGACGGAATTACAATTTTGTAATTATCAAACGTAGTAACGATCATGACCAACAGAGGCTTATCGCGTGACGCGATACATTATCAACGGAGACACGAACTAAAGTGGGATTGAGCTCAGTCGAGAAGTTGCCGACGTAAACAGTGGAGAGAAAAATTTAACGAAGAAAAATAAGGCGTAGAACTCATCGTAGCCGAGATAAAGTTTCTATGAATTAACATGAGCCTCTTAAATGCAGCTCTCAATTAATACTAGGAGTACATACTCAGGTCAAAGTGCGTGCACATACGGTATGTATCTTTTCAAGTCTAATCTTTCAATTAAAGCAATCAACGTAGCACAACCGAGCAATAACTTTCCTATAATCGGGAATAACATCACATTGTGGTATTTTGTTTCACGACTAGTTGAGGAAACTCACCCCAGGAGGCTCTGTAAATCGCACACGAAGCGATAAACGTATCGCTTGCCGGCGGTCTTGTGTATAATATTCTTGTCGTAATAATAACGTAGACCACGACTGAGCTTCTCGTAGTTCATCTTCGGCTTGTTCTTACGGATGCCCCAACGACGTGCAACTTCATCAGGATCGGTAAGTTTGAACTCCCAGCCATCGCCTGTCCACGATATGAATCCTTGACAAGTTTTGTCTGTGAGTAGTTCCAGAAGGAACTGCCAGAGCTGAATGGGGCCCGATCCAGTGAAGCAGGGACCGCCACCTATGAACGAAACAGGATAGTACAATATTGGATGACGCGAAACATGTCGACGTTACGTTTCCAAACCAAGAGCGTGTCGTTCTGGACGCTTACCCGTGTAACCGGCGAGCATAGCGTTCTGGAGTAGTGGCTTCTGATCAGGATTGTTAACAATGGACGATGGATGATGAGGATTCGAGGAATCTCGTGGTCCAAGACCAGCAAGGAATGCTGGATGATGCGAGAGATGTTCACCAAGTGGTCCAACACCCCACTGATCACCGCCAACACCGGTACCAGTACCATTTCCGCTTCCTGGGACTGTTTGGAAGGGTGTCGCATCGTACTGACCATAACCACCCTCGCTGTATCCCTCGTGGTAGCGACCTTAACGAAAAATCAGTACAATTAGGTAAACCATCGCAGGACTGGCACAATATGGATAATTTCCAAAAAAAAAAAAAAAAACACGCTGTATCCCTCGTGGTAGCGACCTTAACGAAAAATCAGTACAATTAGGTAAACCATCGCAGGACTGGCACAATATGGATAATTTCAAAAAAAAAAAAAAAAACAGTATAAAGTACCTCGTGAATAATTTTTAAAAGGTGGTGGCTGGTACTTCGTCTCGAGATGAATGCCACTAGCTCCATAGAACTCGGGGGAGCCATCCAGATTGTAAGGATGAGGTGTCTGATGGTCCTGTGGTAAGCTGTGATACTCGGATGTCTCGTCATAGCCGGAATAGTGTGCTGGGGTCATGTAACTTTCAGTAGCAGCTGCACTGACCCGAAGATCACCTTCGTTGGGTCCTGAGCCTCCTGTCACCAGGTCACTGTTGCTACCCAGACTGCTACTACCGCCGCCGCCACCGCCACCGCCTCCGCCACCACCTCCTTGCAGATGATCCGTCGTTATGTGATTAGTGTAGTTCGCTGAAAATCGTGTCAAGATCAGATTAGTCCAATTACAGACTTTACTCAGCTTGCTTAATTCGTGTCAACAACCACGTGGCCGTTAATCATCAAACACAATATACTTACTTTCTGTCTTGAGCTGATTCAGATTTCGTAAGTGAATGTAGGCATTATTGTTATTATTGTTGTTATTATTCTGCGTGGTAGAATGGGAATTTGGTGGCTGAGTCGTGTGATTATGAGGTGGCGGTGAGGTCTCGTCCCTCTGGCTGTCATCCTGACACACGGGGCTGCGTAGATGGTTGTACCCTCCTGTAATCAAGGCAAGTAACCGATTTTCATTAACGTATAAGTTATATAAAAAATTAATATAATCCTACGTTACAGATACTCGCGAAGGCTGAAAGTCATCGGACGTAAAGGGAGTGAATCACGTAAAAGTCAAGCCGGACCCTTCGACGTGTACAGCAATTACATACCCCGATTACGCAGACGGGGTGATTCGAGCGAGAAGCTGCTTGGCTTCCGGTTTCGACAATGAAACGTTACGGCGCCGAACGTCGGAGATAATTGGATGAGAGAGATACAGGATACAGGACTGTCCATGTGCGAGCGAGCGAATTACAGAAGCCTGTTGATTTTAGCGTATCTGGAACGACGCGTTGCAAAATGCGCGGCCAAAGAGAAAGGATAATTTTGTTTAACGAGTCACAGGAGGTGGTACCCCAATGGAGGAGGTGAGATGACGCGGTGGAGCAAAGCCGAGGTTGGCTGATGGGACAAAGAGCGAGAGAGAGAGAGAGATAAGGGGAGTCCATGAGGTAGCGAGTGAGAGAGAGAGAGAGAGAGAGAGAGAGAGAGAGAGAGAGAGAGAGAGAGACGACTCTCGCGAGCGGGTCCTAGAGAGACGCGAGACGTAGAACGGGTAGAGGCTTGTAACGGGAGGAACGTAGGCGGTGCGTATCGACGATTGGCTCAGCCGGACTCCGCCTATCCTTAACCTCTTGTCACAACAAATACGCTGCGCCTTGGAGTATCTTTCGCGTTACTCTTCTTTGGCGATTTGTCAGGGCAACGAATTGCCCGGCAAATGCTTTGCCCGTATTTCGTCCTGGTCGATGCCTGCCACCGGTGCCACATCTGTGCCTGGGGCGCAGGCACTCCTGGCGCTGGGTGCAAGATGCTCCAGGAGGTAGTAGCCTCCAAGAAGAAACATCAAGGCGAGTACACACGTAGTCGAAATTAAAAAATTTCTCAAATCACTTCAGCTCCACGTTATGAGTAGTGTCACAACGACGCACCAGGGCGATGAAAAATGTTCAATTAAAAACAAGCCTACCAACTTGTCAACCGAACAATAAGTAACTTGGAAGCGTAACAACCAACTGGACCAACGAACCAATGATAATCCATCGTTATGCCGCATCCCCATGAGAAACGTCAGTGCCACGTGTTCTGCAGTAGCAAGATCAGATGGTTACAGCAGTCTAAGATGGCCTAAAGGAGACTGAAGCTCGTCCGTACAATTGAATCAGACTTTCACGTGCACATGTGTATCGCGTTGAGAATGCGCCTTAAGGAGAAAACCGTATAGGACGAGCAGCAAGGGAAGACCAGATGGGTGGAAAGAAAAAAGAAAGAAGGGAGAAAGAGTCATGACTCAAGGTACCCAATGGGCATAGCATTAAGGCCAGTTCACAGCACGCACGTTTATGTTCACGTGCATGAATATATACAAGCAGATAGCCGAGCTGCATAGGGACAGAGGTGGGTTACCAAGTGGGTGGACGGATAGGTGGGTACGCACTTACGTACACCTGCGCCTCGTGTAGGTGCAACTCGCACCCTATTTCATGGACGGTGAGCGTGGGAGTGCAGCCCGAAGCCGGCCCTCACGCCACGCGTTCGTTTCATACGCTTAAATGCATCTCCTTGGCTCGCTGGGCTGCGCTCTCCGAATGTCGAAGGAGCTTCACTGGCATTCAGGTTAAAACGGTACCGGGATTCGCTTAGGAGAAGAGGATAAAAAGCGGGAAATTCGAATCCCAATACGATTACGATTGCGGTTGGATCTTAGGGAAGCTCACGCTAGAAGTGGAGGGACTGTCGAGACTTTCGGAATTATCGGCTTTGTCCATGTCGTTTGTATACGAGAGAGAGAGAGAGAGGGATAGTGAATTTATCAAAAGGGAAAAAGAGTACGGGAGATCATCGTGGATTTTCAAGAATTACGAGCAGCTACTGATCATCACCGGATACCGAGTGACGGAAGTGACGCAATACCTGGTTCTATTTAAATAGGTCGCTCTGTCTGTATTGGCCTAGGTCCTGACTCGTAAATTCGACATGAAGCAAAGAGCAGACTTGGCTTTAATGCTACGGCAGAACGTCTTCGCGATGTCTCGTAAGAGACGACCAGACGTCATTGCAGGCAGGAGCCCCGCGCGCCTGTCGTTATAACGAACGACGGGACTGATGGGACCATTTGCGAGATTCACGATAGTATAAAAGACCGTGTAGCAGGGTTCTGCAGAAGGGAAATAGCTCGTTCGTAAATCCTATTCGAGGACTGCAATACGGGATGGCAACAACAGATTGCAGTGCTGATTATTTGAAGTAAAAGACAAAAATTCGTATAAACGTAATAAAACGCGAGTAAACGAATTAAAAGTCGAGTTAAGGAATAATGTACAATTTTTTTTGTTTTTTTCAGATCGACCATACTTGGCGGGACGAGTAAAATATTTGACATTCGTGTCCAACCAGCAGGCCGCATTTTCATCGAGACGGCGCTTGTCAAGTATCTTAAAACCAGGAGGTCTCATCGGAGTCGAGAAAGATTGTTTTACAAGAGTAAATTATTGGTCGATATTTTAACGAAACGTGGTAGTTTAAGTACGTAGTAGTTAAGTACGTAGGTTATCTTTGTCCTAGGGGGGAAAATCATCAATGAGCGGTTCAGTGAGAAGGAAGAGGAGTTGGCAGCGGCCGCGTACAGTCTGCCAGCAGGGGAGAGAGAGAGAGAGAGAGAGAGAGAGAGCGACGAAAGGAAACGTATCTAAGCTGGGTATCTCAGGCGAGAGCAGAAAGAAGACGGAGAGCCAAGTGGCGAAGAGTAAAGAAGCGGAGAGAAGTAGCAGCCGCATATCAGCTGGACAACAGGTGCCGAAGGCGGCCAGTGAGCAAGCGGCGTCAGACTGTAGAACGAGGCACGTGAAGGAAGGAAGGAAGGAAGGAAGGAAGATAGGACCGAGCAAGAGCGAGAGAGTAGCAACGCGAGACACGAGGCACGCGCCAAAGCGAACGAAAGCCCCAGTCGGCGGCGTCCACAGCTGCTGTGCAAGAGAAGCACAGCCAGAGTCCGTCCCGTCGGCAGCGTCGGCACTTCAAAATTAAAACCTGGCCCTCGGCGGAGCCTACTGCTCCGTGAAGGATAGTCGCCCTCTCGCTCTTACTCGTTTCGGTGGTATAGCGCCCTCTCGCTCGCTCTCGTTGCAACCCAAACGTCAACTTTTTGCCTCTGGGTCGTTTCGTTGTTACGAGAAAAACGTGTAACGAGAAGAGTCTATCAAGCAGCTTGGGCTGGCTACGAGGAAATAATAGGGCTCCGTAAGACCAAATTGGCTGCTGCGAGTTTTGAATTTGTAATTACTATTTTTGTTTCTTTTTCGTTTAATTCGGGAAATTTTTTTAGCGGCAAAATTAAGTTATACGCGGACAGCGGGGGACTGGGAGGTCCGTTAGAAAGGTGGGTCTGTGATTGTTGAAAAAAATGAGAGAAATAATCACGGCGGAGGATCCCGGAAACGGATATGAGAAAGGGCCATCGTGGACTTCCGGTTACGTGTTATCACGTCTATCTGTGAGGTTCCTCGATCGTCGCTCGGATTGACTTTTGCTGGGGGAGGATCGTGATCAAAGTCAGTCACGTAGCTTGAAAGGAGTCAAGGTGGGCAGGTAGGTAAGACAGGTAGTCGGACTGTACGAAATCCAATGGATCGAGCGTCGCACCTAGCTCTTACGTGGCGCAAAATTAAAACGGGGAGTTCGACCGACAGCGAGTCGAGAGTCGAGAATGGTTGCACGCAATGAAGGAGGTAAAACAAAAAAATAAGAGAGAAAGAGAGCGTCGCCGACGACGAAAACGCACATTGTTCTCTTGACTGTCGCTGACCTGCGAACTCTCCCACAGTCGGGAATACGACTAGCGCGATACCACGTAGCTGTATTTACATTAGCTCGCGAGCTCTTTGAGCGACGATGAATTTTATCGATAGCGAATAAATATTATACGGATACAGTCGATACCAGGGAATTATAGGATAAATAAGACAGGCTGCGATTCCTATGTAGAAATATAAATATTATATCTCTACGGGTTCGAAATGTCACAGGATGCGCTTTATGCGAGTTACACGTATTCGGGGTATCGTTCAGCAATTGTCATGTAGTTTGCTCGCAGACGACGTGCGGATTGAGCGAAGTCAATGTTACACGGTGAAAATACGATAATCAAACTCCCGAGCGATTAACTCGCACGAAACGTTATGCCGAGTTCACGGATATATCGCATAAAGCCTTGCGCACCTGTGGCTTCGACGCACGAGAGGCTTAACGGCCGAAGTAACGAGTAGCCGGCAACAGGTGTGCCCGGGGAGAGGCTTTATGCCATAGGCACGTACCCGAGCACTGTTTGCCCTGTGGACGCAGCTTAATTCGGGAAGGACTCTGTCGAAATGTAGAGCGACATGGAATTTTTGGAAAAGAAAAATTCGAAATAATTGACAGTCGTGTCGATAAGCGCGGTTTTCGAGTTTTAATTCCAAGAGGCAAACGCACGTGGATTAAATAATTCGTTTGCTGTATGACTCTTGTTTACTTTCGTTTATCTGACGTTTAAACGTCAGTGCTGCTTTCACGTGCGATTTTCGATTGTTTTTTGACAGCTGTCAAACTCGGAAGCTTCAGGCGTAAAGGAAGGATGTACCTGGCGTGTGGGTCGTCGCGTCAAGGGAACCTGGTGGCATCGCGTTATTCCTTCCTATGGAATGATGCTGCTGATTATGATGACTATGATGATGATGCTGCTGCTGCTGGGGATGAGTCAGGGGCTCTGCCTCCTGATAAGAGGGATAATCCGCGTAGAAGGGCTCCTGCGCTATCACAAGGGTATCCAACATGTGGAGAACCATCTCCGAGGATGCTGGATTAAGGTTGCTCCCAGGTAACGTGCTGCTGTCGTTTGTGCTCGCGAAGGAGCCGAGGAGCGCTGCGGTGGCCGGCGCCTGCCCCGGAGGCCTCGACGCCGACGTCCCGACGCTCACGACGCCCGCCGTGACGGCGTCGTTCCTCGGATCTTCGACGATTTCACCGTTTTGCACTTTTAACGTGCGTTAATTTACGTTCAGTCGATTTTTTTCTTGGATAGCGGAATCAAGATTATATATTTTTTTTTCTTTTTTTAATACTTTTTCTTTAAATCCAAGAATACTTATTCGGCCGCGATGCACCGGGGGAAATATTTATCCTGGACGATGACCGATTTTCACAGGTATCCAGGACTTTTAATTTTATCTAATCATTGTTCGATTAGTTGTCAATTAATCATTCTCGGATAATCGTACGAAACTACCAATATCTCCTCTCACTGTTCCTATAGCGAAAACTCGTAATTCAACCAGAAGTATCAGAGTCCTATTTCGCCGGTGGCACAGAGTACAGCGTTGGCCGCCGCCGAAAATAGTTTATTCGCAAGATCCGTAGATCCGATTCACCTCCAAGTCTTCGACTTGGAAGCCAGATTCAGAATTTCTAAGATACGTAGGAAGATAGTTAAAGTCTTAACGAGGAGCTTAATATCACAGGAGGTCACTGTAAATTCATTTCAACGTAACGATCTTCCAAGGCAATAATTCCCTATAACGTACAGTCACTGAAAGACACTTTTTTTCGATGAAGAGCAAAAAAAAAAAAAAGTAAAGTAATTAAAAATCACGTTAACCCGCGCACCGATTTAATACAGCCACAATAACACTGGACAATTCAAATAAAAAAAGATCCTATCGTAAGACACACAAGCACGGCACTTATACAGCCTGGGCTAGATTAGAAATTTTTTTTTTCCCAAAATATCCAAATATCGATTATAAATATAACTGTTTTCATTCACCAATTTCAAATTTTTAACACCCTTCAAATATCCCGCGTCACTATCGTATTCCTTCTGGAAGTTAGAACAAACGAAAATCCAAGCTTGCTCTTTTACCCGCGAGGAGGCACTGCGCGGTGGTTCTTAATTTTGAATTAAAACTTCTTCGTTACACGCAAGGATCATCCTGATCGCTACGAACCGACCGCATATCAAAGGAACGTACGTTTCACCACACTCGGTGTCTACTAGGTACACTCCACTTGACGTGAGCGCGTGTGTCACTGACGGTGCCGCAGGCCGTTTCCGCTGTCGGCTTTCTACTCCCGGCTGCCCGTTTCCCTTCTTCCTTTCCACGGACGCGATCCCCACCACCCGTACTATTTTCATTTCGTTTCGTTTCGTTTCGTTTGCGGAGCAGTGCGTGCTCCTTGCTGGCACCTGGTGGGGGACTATGGTACCTTACGAGTGGGGACTGTGGGATTCCTAGCTAAAGGGGATAGAGAAGGGGCAGGCCGATGGTGGGGGTCGCAGACAAACGCCCCCTCAATATTCTCTCTCAACCACCTGCTGCTACTCATTCCTCTTGTATTAGCTCGCTTACTTCTAGCTTGGATTTATTTTTTAATAGAAAACTCACAAGTGCCTTGGGGGGTGGCTGAAGGCGGTGGTATTTTATTAAAAATTACACCCCGATCAATTTTACTTATACAGGGTGTTAAATATTCCTTAGGAAGTATCTGGTACTGGTATACAGGATTGGATGGTTAATCGATGCATTCTTATACGGGGTGTCTAGTTATTAATAATTTTATGAGAATTTCATTTTTCAAATAATTATTAATCTTTACACGGTATTGATATCAGAGTCTTGGAAGTGATATCGTGAATGCGCTTCCGGTTTATTTTAATTGGGTTAATGTCCACGTCCACGGGGAATAAAGTCATTTCTGCCTTGTTTATTTAAGCGTTATACCGGAGTGCTTGTTTTAAGGGTACTGTTAATAAAAATATAATCCAGCGGGAGATAGGAGTATGGTAAAGGTGCGAAATTGAGAGTACTTTTGGTAACTCTCGTAAGTACTTATATGGCGTATAAAGGGACTGTCTTCTGGGGCTTAGGTGAAGTTTACCGGATGCCACGAATATATGGCGTAATGATAATTGTCGTGTGTGGGACGCGGAGTATTAACAGTGCAGTAGTTGGTTAAGGCAAACTGAAAACTCACGAAACCTTTGAGCAGCAGATCAACTGTTCGGTATTAAGCAGCTTTTTCTCTCGCTTTGCCCAGAACGACTTTTGAGGGTCTTCGACTTCCGGGCCGAGGCAAACGTGGGTAATCGGGGACCCCGAAGAAATTTTTCCAGACCATACTATTTCTTTTAATCGGAGAGTCATTTTTTAACAGTCAATTTTTTTACTGTACAATATTTTTCCAATTTTTGCCTGCTTTTTACCCGATAGCTCGTAATTACAAGTTTGAAATTTTCCAAAAAAAAAAAAAAAAAAAAAAAAAAAACCCTTTTTGGACCCCGAAGAAATTTTTCCAGACCATACTATTTCTTTTAATCGGAGAGTCATTTTTTAACAGTCAATTTTTTTACTGTACAATATTTTTCCAATTTTTGCCTGCTTTTTACCCGATAGCTCGTAATTACAAGTTTGAAATTTTCCAAAAAAAAAAAAAAAAAAAAAAAAGATCCCTTTTTCGAAATAGCATTACGAAAAGGTAAACGAAACCGAACACAGCACGATATTATCAGACCTTTATGGGGATGCGTATACGAATTATCTTTAGTATTTACAGTTACTCGTTTACCCGGTTTAACTGCTTTACTGTGTAGCGAGTATTGGCGGTAGACGGGAGTATCTACTATACCAATCTCTGGTTACCGGTAGTCAGTCCGTGGGTTGGTAAACAAAAATACGATTTTAAAGATACACCCTTAAAACCAAACCCACCGGACATTTACGAGGGTGATCTTAAGATATCGAAGTCCTTTTAAAGGAGGGTATAAAAAAGCATTAACGAGTCTCCCACATACCGATAGCGTCTAGCGCGATAAATCGATTTCGAGGTATACGTACAGAACG